GGGGGGGCACGCGGGGTACGTGACTTGGAATTAGCCAATGCTCCAAAGAGCCTGCTTCCTTGTATTGGGGAAGAGATTTTAGAGTCCAAAATGTGGGTGTTAGGTCTCACACACTTTGGACAGCTTTCAGCAGGGACTATACCTTGAAAAAAGACATCATCCTGGGAAAGGTGGAAGGTCAGTGGATGAGAGAAAGATCCTCAACTAGATGGATTAATACAGTGGCTATAACAGTGGGCTTGAGCATAGTACAGATTTTAAGGATGATGCACAGAATAGGGCAAAATTTTAATCAGTTGTTCATAGGGTGACTATCAGTTGTAGTTGATATGATGACACCTAATAACCAAAAGGGGCCATCATTCATTGCTGTTGAGTTGTCCTTATTTTTAAGCCTATCCAATAAATATATGTATTTTTTATAGGATAGGGGAAAGTTTCAGTCTTTTGTTTATAGGGTTACTGTGAGTCATGGTCTACTTTATAACACCTAACAGCAGTAGATGGAGAAAGACTGTACTTGTCAATGACTTCTTCTTCCTTGGACTCACAATCAGTATACTAGGTACCAATAGTCAGGAGATCACGGAACATACTATACTGGGAAAGTCTGCAGTCAGGGACCTTTTAAAATTATTGAGGAGCAATGATGTTAGTTTGAGGACTAAGGTGCACTTGATTCAGACTATGGTCTTTTTTTTTTTAAGATTAATTTCAATGAACATCTACAGAGACTTTGGAATTCCATTCATTCATTGTTGCACTTTTCTCCCCTCCCACCCCACCACCACCCCCAGTTCGCTATTCTCCTTGAAAAGCAAAAGAAAAATTCCTTCATTGGTACACAATCCCCCCCACCCCCCACCCCCACCCTGAGTATACTCCACTCAGCAACCCTCATTTCAGACTCTTATAATAATCATAATTCCCCCAAAATATATTACTTTTAAACTATTCTCTCCCTCATCGGCTTCAATGCAGTAAACATAATTTATCCAGTTTTTTTTTCAGTCCTACACCCACCATGATGTCAGCCCCATTTTACGACAGTGGCACCATATAGTATTTGTCCCTTTGTGACTGAAATATTTCACTCAGCATAATGTCCTCCAGGGTCACCCATTTTGAATAATATTGCATGAGTCCTTGTTTTTCAATGCAGTGTAGTACTCTGTTGTGTGAATATACCACAGCTTCTCTATCCATTCATTTGTTCATGGGCACTTAGGTTGTTTCCATCTCCTTG